ATTTAATATTCATACATAGTTAAATAAGCTATTAGCGCCTATATACTAAGTAAATATTTACACATTTTTTGTATTTAATCAAATATAACATAGTAGTATATAGTATATACACAATTAAATATTATCAACGGCATAATAATTACGGTTAGAAATCTATGTTTAAATATTTCTTACCTAGTTATAACACGCATTTTAAATATCAAGCAAATACTATTAATTTATTTGTAATGACATTATATACTAATAAACTTAAACATAAAACGAATGCATTTGACAGGCATGGTAATATTTTTATTTTKWATTTGCTTGTAAGGGGAACCCACGGAAACATAGGCCATTGGATGTGGGGTGGTACGGTAGGGGTTATTTTTGTATATTTGATTGTAGGTTTTTAAGTGGGTAGGGTTGTAACACGTGCTTGTATATGTGTGGCAAGGATATGTTGCTAAAAATCCCGGGTGGTCACCCATCCGGGAGCTAGCAACTGCGGCCGGTACGTACGCTCAGTGCGTTTCCGCAGATTGAGCGTCTGACCACGCCTCACCAAGTCACCATGGTAATATTATTTTAACTGTATGTCATTGATTTCAGCCTTCAGGGTTGTTATATATATCCTGCAATTTTTTAGTGATAAAAATGTTTATGCTAAGGACAATTATAGTTCAAAAACTTATTTCACTAACATATATAAATTAAGTACCTAAGTAATATTGACACATTAGATCTAATGTTATTATATATGGACAATTTTAACAAATTATAAATGTTGGTTGAATAATATCAAWTACTGAAATTGTTAACTTACCAAATTTTACCACATTATATTACTCTCAAACAATCAAACCCACATGGAGTATGAATCTTTTATCCTCAGTACACAAAGTTAACTATTTAAAAACTACTAGATAATTTGATATTTGAATTTGGTACGTTAACATTTTCAGACAAATCATCCACGATCTATTAAATAATTTACAGTAAAGAATTTCAGTTCTCATTTCAAAAACAAAAGTTTGTATCTTCCTAGAGCACTTTTTAAGTAGCATAAAAGATCTTAAGAATTTTAAAATACAGTCTTTGAGTTTATCTTTATAATAATTCTAAGAAATAGCTGATTTTTTCAACAAAAAAAGAGAGTGAGCGTTCTTGGTGAACCTGTATACTATATTTATACAGAACTAAYTAACTAAAAACACTTAAACTTTACTATATTTTATAAATTTCAGCAGYGATACGCAACAACTAAGTATTGAGATAATAATAATTTGGTATTTTAGGCTGTAATTTAAAAATTTAAAAAAATTCATGACGAGATCTCGGAGATTCTAAATAAATAGAACATTTATTAATAGCACATTATACATTACTTATATTATATTTATACGTATAGGTAATTAATTTTACTGTTATAACGTACTAGTGTTTTGAAATATAAGATTAATTATAAYATGTTGATACTAAGTAGCAATATAATAAACAGTATACCCTTGGACGGTCTCGTTCGAACTTGTGATGACTGTGCCTCCAAGTTACTGAAGTAGACGTTCAATCTATACACACTACTTTTTTATTTTTTTAAATTCTTAATTATTAGGCATCCTAGGTCACATCTAAACAAATAGTTAAACTATAAATGTCCATATTGCACTTATCACATAAATCTGCTCAATTTTTATTTATTTTTTTGGACTTTTAAATAATYATTTAAACGTTAATATTATAAAACTTAACAACCTATTATAATTATTACCTGCCCCAGGTAACAAACCAATTTTTAAGCAATGCTACGTTACGAATATAATACTTATAATTTGCAGTTTACCAGTGTGTACCAACTTTCCAAAATCGTTATAATAATAATATAGTATTTGGTATCTGTCGATGATAAACATTAATTTAAAAACTATTGATGRTTTTWATGTTATTCAGTTTTTTGGTTTTTGAGAGTTTGTGTAGTTGGTGATTGACATCTACTTAAAATTCCACTACCTATATTAATATTATATTACAATTATAATAACAAGAATAACACAATTCAACAATTTATATTATTTATAGCATGGTGAAAATTCCACAGGTGTTTACGTTATTCTTAAATTGCGACAACGTATATGTTTAATTCCATATTTTCCGATGTCTTAATTAATGAGAATATTCATGAATATAATATTAAGTAACATTTAAAGGACCGCGTATGTCAAAAAAATAGAACATTCCATCTACAATCATTCGTAAACATAATAATACAGTGTTACTTGTAGTTCTTTTCATATTACACGTCATAAAAAATCACGAAAATTGTATTGATTGAAAATGTGCCTCAGTTATAGTTTTTAAAGGTTAACGGAATAAATAATTATTAAGCCCATTCAAATTATCACCAATGTTTTGTGAGATAAGGTTAGGTCATATTGTACGGTATGATTCTGCGTAAGTATATGATGCGCAAACGGCATCAGCTGACTGAGATGCGGTCAACGAACGGAAGGAGAATTTAACGTCACGTGTTACCTAAGAAAAAAACTAGTTTGTCAATGATTTATTTTGTAATCGGAATACACATATTATATTTGACTGCATCCAAGTGGCCAGACAAAATCATTGCAATTGTTATATAAAATACTGAAAACAATATTATTTGTATTCGCACAAAWTGTATTTAAAACATTAAAGACATTTTAATTGTAAATTAAAGCATGGCCTGATAATATTGTGTATTATGTTTTACTTAAATTAATTAAACTTATCCAATTTTTACTATCTCAAATAGTTTCGTATTTTAAACACTTGTCAATTATTCAGGAGTGACATATTTTTATACTATGGTATCTACTCGTGTTACCTATTGGAAATTATAATTTAAAAAAAGATTATCACTTTTATTAGGTAGATACCGTAAAGTATACCGCATCTATACAGTTTTTGGTAAGTACCTAGTATATACTTTACAAGTACATAATCAGGTAGATATTAATATTGATAGCTTAAATATTTTGAAATACTTAAAAAATGTATTTTAACTAAATACTTTCAAAATATTAAAAAAAAAAAGCTACTTTAATTTCAAAAAGTATTCAAATACTTATATTCGAATGTAATACAAGCGAATTTATATTGTAGACGTCTCGCTATTTTAGCAGTTGTTAGTATATAATAATATACTGGAATGACTTGTTACCTATATTAACCCAACAAGGAGAGTCTCATGCGTCTGCATAATGTGGTTATACAAGCCAATAGGTTTTTTTCACATAATTATACACCATTAATCATTCATTTCTTGCTTTAACGTAAACATAATATTTTGAATGATTACCAACCAAACCATTTTTTGGGGTAAAAATGAATGACAAGTAGGTACCGGACTCTCAAATAAAAATTTTAAAAGAGTATAATAAATATTTAACATATGATAAGTGCCAACTGGCATGGTCATATTTGTAATTACCTTGTCACCAGATAATGTTTAAAATCAAAATTTAAAATAACTCGTGAGAGGCTGTACAGACGTTTCTATAAACATCTAAAATTTTTGATTTATATGGGTATTATTTTCTTCGATAATAAGTGTATAAATTAGTAATTTCGCATGCCATTTRATCGAGGCTGTGTAATTATTAAATATTTTCATGCAAATCGTCGACCAACTAAATTAAAGGGCATTTATTATAGTTTTCACCCATTGTTATGGTGTTTAAAAAATTAAAAATATTACTAGAACATAAATTTCAGGTAAAACTATTTCCAACCGATTTATATTAATTTAACTTAATAGGTACGAATTAAATTTTCTAAAACCAAAAATATACACCAACAATGATTGTATCATAATAAAATAATTATCCTATACCTACATGGTACATGGCAATTTATTAATTATAGCTTTATCGTTTTACATTGAACACACCCAAACAACTACATTACTTACGAACGCTTAATATATATTTATTGAAATGTTTTTATAAATATAAGAAACTACATTGATAATTATCAAGTAAAACAACAAATTCTATTGAAAAAAAAAATGGAGAAAATCAAAATTCATGAGTATATATTATTAAAAAGTTTTTACGGATAATCAGTTGTCAAACTGGTAGGAAAAGAGAGGGATAGTCAATAGTCATGAACTTTTTTCAATATTTATAAACATTGTCATTCGGTACAAAATGGTAACCATAAATTATATTTTAAATGATCAATGATCATACACTGTATGTTAAAAATTATCCATCCATCGTGATAAAATTATTTGACCAACAATGTACGTATTATTAAGTTTTTAAAATATACTTTACCAATTGTTAAATACCTAAAACTGCCAAATCAAATTACAATGTTAAACAATGAAGATAATATTAAAATAATTATTAATAATTAATACTAATTACTATTATATGAAATTCCTTTGTAGTATGTATGATAATAAATAATAATTATATATTACGTTCACGAAATTATAGTATAAAATCGATACCTCCATATTTAATCCAACGAACAACGTACCTATACAAAACTGACAATGATGTTATTATTTTATTAATCCCGATTACGAGCCAATGAAAATTATGATAAACACATAAAATAAGCAGCAATGTATTATGTATGTTATATTTCATACTGGCGCCTTTTAATTAACTATATTATTTGTTTATCTATTTCCCTATATATTGATGCGAATCTTCAATTATTATACATAGATGTCYATTTTTATAATTGCAGGAGTTACGTCGGCGMAATCAGTTTAAGTAAAAAATAGTGGGTAAGTAAAGAAATCATTGATTACCATATTATTTATTATTACTAAGGGCCATTCTTAAAATGTCTGGTTAAAGTTAACGAACACTTAACTGGCGGAATTTTGTCCATAAAAATCCCACTAACCATCGGTTAACCATTAACCGACACTTAACTGGACATTGTAAGAACGGTCCTAAATGTAATAATAATTTAACAATTGAAAAAACATTTATATTAAATTATCTTAACTATGAATAACTTACTTTGTTGAGCCCATAGAGTCATGTTTTTCAGATCAAACTGTAGCTTCAAACTATCATGTTGGCATTGAGAATTTTGTGATTTTATAATTGCATTTGGTAATGTCGGTAATATATTCGTAGGTCCTGTCAACGATGCGTTGACACTGATTAGAAATAACGAAAATATTGCAAAACGGGACACCATTTCAATGAATACCAGTATACGTTTCTGAAACAGAATTAAATAAATTATTATCTTTGAAAACAGTTAAATAAATGTAGTTGATTTAATTCATATGCGTATTTTTG